CTTAAAATTGGGGGCAGACCAGCCGAGTCTCGGAGTGGTTGGCAGAGACGAACTCGGGCTTGGGGAAAGGGACCTGGAGTGTTAAAAGTACATAAATTAAACTGCTCAGAAAGCCTCTGCGACAGGCCAGAGACAAAGGGAGGCTTCCTTCCGTGCGCTGGCCTCCGCACTTTAGAGAGAACTGTGCTTAGAAACGGGCCTCGGCAGGGCTGAGTGCCTCTGGTGCTAACACCCCACGTCTCTGAGACCTGTTTTCCACAGAAACTCTAGTTCTGTATTTCAGTCAGAATTAATTTAATTGTTTGTTTTTTGTATTCCTCCATGTATCAGAATCATTCGTGGCAGGAGGGTCGTCTCAGCCCATTCCCAGGGGGCCCTCTGAGGACATCGGGTCTTGTTATGAGGTCAAGTGGGTCAGCGACGTGGGAATTACTCTCCCGAGGCTCCAGCGTTTGTGAGAGTCGGGGCTCAGAGGAGGGGAAACCTGGGAAGAGCCGGCACAGGCGTCCTGACTCACTGGCCTTCCAGCTGTGCGGGGGGCCTGGAATTTGCCCATTTCCAAAAGCAGGAGGAAAAAGCCAGGAGTCCAGGCCGTTGTCAGACAGGCCCGGGTTACGATTAGAAGGTGCGCTGAATGAGGCCAGTATCTCCGAAAGTGCTCCTAATACTGTGGCTAGTGGCCCATCTGTCACCGGGCACAATCCGGCATTCTCTTTCTGCATGTTTTCACAAACGCACGTAAAATGTAACCCACGCCGGCCATGGCCGCGTCACGCAGACACAGGAAACCCCCGCGCGCAGCCCCTGCTGAACCAGAATCGCCAGAGGCTGGCAGGTAGGCCCACTCTCTGCATGACCCCCCCCTCCAAGTGGCCGGAAAGAATTACTGGAGCTTCTAAAATGACTCAGTCCCTGTGTGTGGAGGGAGGGGTGGGCTCAGAGAAAATCTGTCCTGGAGTCAAAGGTTACAGGGTCCGTGTGCATGTGTTCTGGGGGGCTGGGCCCGAATCTACCAGTCCCTGTGCTGCCACTCAGCGGCTGGGCAGTCTTGGCAAGTCACATGCCCTCTCCTGCCTCAGTTTCTCCACCTCTGAAAGGAGGGGGGGGGGTCATGCGGCCTCCGCCGCCCTCCTGGCTCTGGAAAATGAGTGCTGTTTCTGAGTATTGGTTCCTTCTTTGTGCAGTTACCCGGCGGAGGTCAGACATGCCCCCAGGGGCAGGAACGCAGCCCCTTATGCACAGGTGTCCACTAGCCCTCCTTCCCGGGCGCCCTCTCTGACGTTGCGCTGTGCACACCGGTGCCGTCTTTCTGTCTCCCCCTTTCTTCTGCCCCGAGCCATTTCACAAGCTGCAGGCCGCGGAGCTCCAGTTTCCTCTTCTCATTCCAGTGTTTTGAACAAGAACCACAATACCTTTTTTGCACCTTGTAGATATGCAGAAACACAAAACAACCCCCCACATCCCCCCTGGCCCTCTGTTCCCTCAAATAGTCAGCAAATGGAACCTGTATTCTCTTTCACACATGGCAGCGAACGTTACGTGTCCGGGAGCGTAGGCAAGGGTCATTTGCAAAATTGCCTTATTATCCTATTACTTTCCGGGAGCAAATATGCGACTTTCCCTCTCGGGGTGGTGGAGTTATAAGCGATCTGCCCTGTAAGTCTGTCGCTTGGTGGCTAATTTGCTGTGAAGTTAAAAGAAAGAGACAAACGTTTAAGGGGAAAAGCATCCGTCTTCCCAGGTAACATCTGACAGTCCCCACGCTTGCAGGGACGTAGCGAGAGGACATGCTGCAGGCGTCAGGGGGTCTCAGCGGCCACCCCAGGAGGACGGGGCCTGTGGGGTCCCCAAAAACCATCGCTGGGGCAGCAGTCGCGGGGGTGCTGCTGGTCAAGCCTCATTACTGGGCCGTCAGATCAGCCTAGTGGGTCATGATCAGAAATTTTGAAAAACCGTGAAATAAATTAATATAAAGCAGACTAGAACAGAAAATATCAGAGTGGGTGGCATGGAGAAGGCCATGCACTGTCTAGCAAAATGTCGGTTCAATTGTGTGCGTGCGTGTGAGAGATGTGTGTGTGTGTGCATGTGAGAGATGCGTGTGAGATGTGTGCATGTGTACACGTGTGAGATGTGTGTATATGTGAGATGCGTGTGCGTGCATGTGTGTGAAATGTGTGCATGCGTATGTGAGACGCATGAGTTTGTGTGTGTGAGATGTGTGTGTGTGAGATGCATGCATGTGTGAGATGTGTGTGCATGTGTGTGAGATGCGTGCATGTGTGTGAGATGTGTGTGTGTGCGTGCGTGCATGCATGCATGCGTGAGAGGTGTGTGCGTGCATATGAGAGATGTGTGTTGTACACCAAGTTCCAGTGCAAAATAGATTCCTTACTGCAGGTCGTAGTTACAAAGCTGTGAAAGCCACGGCCTTGGAGAAATGTGCTGCGACTCACATGTCTCAATGCCAGCTTCAGAGCAACTTTATAAACAAAAGGAAAAGGAATTCCTCCAAATGGGAAAGTCACCTCACAGCTCGATGTGTAAACTATGTCTCAGCCATCCTGAATGCTACTTTTCCTCCTCTGGAAAATAATTCAATTGAATCGCACCTTTCCATGTAAGCCCGAGGCAAACCGAGAGGAGGTCAGTCTGTCTGTCTTCCCTGGGGCCCCGCCCCCTCCTGCAGGTGCCCCAGAGGGTTTGTACTTTCCTTTTTCAAATCACAGTCTCCTGAGAGCCTGACAAATACAGCACACAACAGTGTAAATGACTGGGGACGCTTTAACGTGCCCATTCCCAAAGGCACTTCTATTTCAGCCAAATATTAAACCTCTGACCTATAAAAGAATCTCACAGAATTTCGCTACAGGGGGAAGAAGAGAGAAATTTGGAGAGAAAGGGTGTTTTTCCAGCGCTCGTGATGTCCTACCATAGTGATCCATATTCCCTTCGTAAGGTTCCTCTTTATAGAAAATAACGTGCATGGTCCCGGCCTCTGCGCGTTTGTGAAATGCAACATCAGCACCTTTATTTTTTTTAATAGTTATTTATGAAACTGTCTCCTCCTAAAGTCTTTGAGAGGAACTATTTCTGTCTTACTCACTTTGTATCCATCTTACGCCCAACTTACTGCTGGCAAATCTGAGGTCCTGAATTAGGGGCTACACAATCTACACAACCCTGCTTCCCTGCAGCCCATGTGGTTACATTGTTTCCCAAGGCAAACTATAATAATAAGAGCGTTTAAGTGCGTGCTTTTTCCTGAATATCGGAGTATTTCTGTAAAACCTCCACACACTTGTCATAAAACAGTAATAATAACAGCTTTAAAAGAGCACCGATTTATTGAGTGTGTAATTCATGCCAGGCCCCTGGTACTCGCCTCAGTTATGTCTTGCAAAACCTCAATAGAAGTATTGTTACTTGTTCCACGCCCTGCCCCCTAAACACCACATAAACAGTTTTACAGCTGAGAAAACGCATCATCGAGCGACACTGATGGCCTGCCCGTGGGACACTGGTATTGAAGCGGCGAGGGCACAGTTCAAATCCAGTCCGTGTCACAGCAGAGGCCCTGCTTTCCCCGTTTCTACATTTCCTGCTCTTTCCATTGTACTTAAATGGTCATTTTCATTTTCATTTTCAAAAAGCTCATCTGTTCTCTTAAAGACCAAGTTGTGAGTGTGAGAACACCAGGAAAGTTTTGTTGCTTTCTGTTTTCATGACAGAGACCCCGATGGTCACAGATGGTCACACACTCAGAAACCCCGTGGCCCGAGGGTGCTAACTCAGCGCCTGACATCCCTGCTTCCGCCACCTTCCCCGGTACCATCACGGACGCGAGAGTGAAGGGCAGCCTACTGGGGCTCCAGTCACCGAGCTGGGCCTGTTCAGATAACTACTGTGTTTCCACGTACGAACCGCAGCGCTTAATCACTTCATCCTCTAGTCCATCTACAGTTTTTAATAGAATACCCTTTAAATGAAAAGTCGGCTTCGTATCGTCCTCTCAGAGATCTAAAAACCTCCCCGAACTGTCCAAGGTGATCAGAGACCACGGGTATTAAGCAGTCACATCGCCTCCCCCTCCCCCCGTGACAGAAAAAGGAAGACATTGATTTTGTAACAGAAACACTTAGAAATCAAATCCAGAATTCACGTTTGTTTTTAAGACAGAATGAAACCACCGACTACCGAGTGTGGTTGGTGTGGTAGCCACTCTGAGCTTCCCAATGTCTATATGACTTTCCCAAATTAATTCAGGCTTAAGTTTCAGGAAATAAAATAATGATGCAGTTAAACAGAGACCCTTATACAAACGAGCGCCGTGTTTACCATGTACCAGTCCATTAAAATCAACGCCAGACACAGGTGACCTAAACCCCGAGCCCAGCACACTGGCACCCGGCCCTTGCCGATTTCCCTGTGATGACAGCAGACGCTCGTTGGAATTTGCTCCGAAAACAAAGGCTTTACCCACCCAATGTCCAGACGAACAGGTCGTAAATACAGGCCTGTTGCTACTGACCAGTGGTGTCATCGCATTCTTTAGGATCTACACAGGACTGAGTGCCAGCGTTTTTCCTTTTGAAGTGACACCATTAGAGCACAGCTCTGGGCTTGATAATTTTTAAAAAGATTACCAGCTCTTTCACACAGACTTAAATTTTCTAGCCATAAACCATTTGAGCTAGAGGGAATAAATAAAGACATTCTACTGTTCCAGAAAAAAAAGCAACAAAAACCTCCATTTCCTATCTTTTACACTAAATGTCATCCCCCCTCACCCCGCCAATCAAGAACCACACAGAAGAAAAGCCCTATCAAGTTAAGCTGCTCTCGTCCTGAAGCCAGGTCCTAAAATTCTTCTACTCTGTCAATCACACAAAGAAGGAAGGCAAGAGACACGTGTGTCCAGCCGCAGGAATGGATGAGTGAGGAAGAGAGCGCGGTCTCTCTGCAAAGGGACGTTGTGAGTGGTCATGGCGGTGACGTACCTTAAGCTCCCGGAAGAAGATGCTACTCCGGGCCCACTCGACGATGGAGAAGAGGGTCTGGTCCGCCATTTTGCACATCAGCCCAAACGTGCTCAGCTTCTCGTGTTTGCTCCGGTTCGCTTGCTCTTGCTGCAAGTAGGCCATGATTTTGGCTTGGACTTGAGGCTCGTCTGGCTCGCACTTCAAAAGTTCCAGGATCAGGTGAGGGATGCTGGCCGGGGAGCTGGTCTGGTAACTGTCCATGTAGGAGTAGCCCATGATGGACTCCGGCGAGCTGGTGTAGGGGTCGGGGTACTCGGACTTGATGGCCCGGCTGGGAAAGTGGCCATAGGTTTGGTAGCCTTGCAGGCTGCCATGAGGTGGCATTGTCATGCTGATGGGGGACGTGACAAAGGGACTCCGGTCATAGTCGGTGGGAGGCAAGGCGGCGTGGTTGAGAGGTAGGCCTTTGGAGGCGGAATGGAGGTTTTGAATGGCAGAGATGCTCAGCTCAGAGGGCATGGCCTGGATCACCTGGGACATGGCTTCCAGCTTCAGTCCGTTCGCGCGGATCAGGGCTTTTTTCTGCTGCTTCAGGGCCCTGTCTCGCTTGTACATCGGCCCAAACTTATTCCTCCCTCCGCGCATTCGGTCGGCCCTTACCGCTGGGGGGGAAAGAAGAAAAGGAAGTTAGCTATGAATCAGATGTAAGTCATTAGCGTCCCCCAGATCTCCAGCTATTGGAAAACGCTGCAAATTGACCAGAAGTGGTGTGTGTGGCTTTCTTTACAATAGCCCACAGAGATTCCCCCCAAACCCCGTCCTCTTCTTTATTTATGAATTCTTTCCTCTGAGTGTGCCTGTCATCAAAAAATATTTGGGATACGTAGGGCTGTGTGAAGCCTTCAATGGGCTGGAGAGGGCCTCAATTTGGGCCACACACACAGAGCACTTTTTATGGCTAAGAAAGAGTATCAGCTTTTCTGCTGTGAGTGCCCGTTTCTGTTATGCCACTTCCACTGTGATGCTCTTTATGGGAGCTCAAACTGCTGAGAGGGAAAAAAAGATGAAATAACCCATTTCTGGATTGAATTGTGAATATTTTCCCTTAGAACATCTTCCTCCAAAGCCACATTGGCGGATTTGCGGCAAAAGTGCTCGGTGTACATACTTTTCTTAGAAAGTCCACGTTTTCACCTGGACGTGATGAGAACACATCAGATAACCACAGATATGGTTTTTAACTTCAGCAAAACTGGACATAAGGAAAGCAAATTCATTTCAAAAGCTGTCAGGACAGCCCCCCATCACGACGCTCTGTGTCTGGGGCCATGTCTAATACACCATCCGTTCTCTCGGAGCCCAGTGGCCCATGGCAGTTAGGCCGAAACCAGCAACTCTGACAGCTTGTGACGCGCTCGCTGCAATGGCTGGAGGTGAAGTTTTTGAGCTTTTTCTCATAGGACTAGGATAGCATTAGAAATTTATTGTGAATACTAGGTATCCAGAATACTGCACGAGATGATAAAGAGTTTTTCACGTGCATGAGAGTTTAGTGAAGACTCACTTAGCTCACATCACTGGGAAGGGAGTATGAGCCCACACCACAAGTCACTTACAGTTAAGAAAGCACACTTTTTAAGGTAAAGAAATGCAGTGTTTTCCTTTTGTAAGAAAGAAAGAAGAAAGAAAGGAAGGAAGGAAGAAAGGAAGGAAGGAAGGAAGGAAGAAAGAAGGAGAAAGAAAGAAAGAAAGAAAAGAAAGAAAGAAAGAAAAGAAATAAAGAAATTAAATGACATCCTATGAAATCACAAGATTTAATTTTATTTTTGGGGTCTCCTACTATAGTAAGCATCCACTATAATATTTCACTTTTGGAAAATAATAAAGTGATTGGTGATGCACTAATAAGCATCAACTACTTCCCTTCAGTCTCCACTTAAAAGGAGTACAGCCTTCACAGCCCTCATGATAGCTAAGATGGCTCCTTCTTAGGGAAGGGACCGATTAGTCATCCAGCAGATATATTGGACATTTTCTGGGTATTTCTATCAAGTCTGGGTCCCACATGACAGAAAAGCCCCCAACACGACTAGCCTGTGCCTCATTGATCAGAGAAAATGCACTCTTGTACCTGGCACGTGTCAGTGATACGTAGTCCTTATTATGACTTTCTCTGTGGTGTATTTAATGTGTGGAAAGTTAGTAGGTGAGAGGCTGAAAAAACAGCAACACACCACAGGAGTCCATGAACTACAGATTCTCTGCAGCTGTCCCATGTTAACGTGACCGCCTGCCAGTCTGCACATTGTATGAACGGGCTCTGCTACTTCAACGTAAAATGTAACGTGGCCTTTGGGGAACCTCTCTCTTGTTCTTGTCTCACCCTTGCTACTGGTTTAATAGTTCACTATTTTTCATGTTTCCTGCTTCTCAACTTTTTCTATTTTGCAGGCTCAGTTATTATCTTAAAAAAAGAAAAAGAAAAATGTGCTTTCCCACCCTATTAAAAGTGAGAAACTCCTCTTGACAATTAAGGGCTTTAAATCCTTGCTCAGGAGTCATGAAATTGACAGTAACAATTATGACAAGCACACATATTAGAAAAGATTCAGATCAAACTGTCACTAGGGCATCCTGACCTGAAAACTTAAATTGAGGATTTTTTTTTTTACACAAATTATTTCTGTTTGTTCTCAGTGGAATTGCTTGAGTCTTGTTTTCATCTCCCTGGCCTTTGTAGTGTCAAATGCATCCACTCCCAAAACAAAACAGAACAAAAAATGGGAGGGGCACAACTGATACTACATTTTTTTTCCTGGTTGATTTCACCAGCCTTACAAGGAGACACACTACTGCTAACACAACATAAAAACTCTGACATTGGAAGACTAGGGAAACAATGTTACCATGTTCTAAGCACGCTGTTGTTTGCAATTCTCCCTCCTTAAGAGTTTGCACAGGCAGTAGGTTAAGAATCTTACCTTCCAGCTTCATTCCAACACTTAGACATTTTTGAAACCGACAGTAAGGACACCGCTTTCTCTGTGTTTTGTCTATTTGGCAGTTCTGGTTTTCTATACATGTGTACCTTTTATTATTTTGGACTGTTCGCTTAAAAAACCCCTAGAAGACAGAAAAAATCGTGAGACATATTATACAGCGCTAGCACGCCTCCCTTCCATTGTTTCATTTTAAGGAAATCACCAGTAAATCTTTCCACTGCACCACTTGAGCCCTTATGTGGGTCTGTGGTTTGTTTTACATTTTAACATGATCAACCCCCCAAAACAGCACCAGGCTGTCTGCAGTGGGGGTTTTTCTGGCATCAGAGTTATATTCCTGAAGAATTACATCAAATCTTGGGAAGATTTGGCTACACACCATTTTGTCAGAGAAAAATACACCCTATATTGACCAATTTTTTTTAAAAAAACTGTTTTTCCATTAACCTTCCCATCCAGAGACAGGTACTCTGAGGACCTGCACTGTTTTTAAGAAGTCTGATACAATTTTGGTGACAAACTACTGCAAAATGCCAGTGGAAAAACTGAATAGCAAAACATGTCAGATCTTTTTCAGATGTCAACATTAGGTAGTTAAAAGCAAAAGGATTTAAAGAGCAAAATGGGAAAATGTTCATAATTCCACTGGAATGCATTCCAGTATGGGAACTCTGGTAAAAAAAAAAAAAAAAGAAAAAAGAAACTAATGTGAAAGCATGTATAGCAGAGAGGTGAATTTTAGCACAGTGCATGCTCTCCTTGTATTTCACTCAAAGAATTAATAAAAAATAACACTTGTAGCTTTATAACATAATAACCGCTTTGCCAGCATGCTGTATTCCTTCTGTTTATCCTACTAGCCATAAAGTGAAACAATCTTACTTTGTTATCCAGAATGAAGGGATTTTCCTGGCAGTGTTATAAGCAATTGTACTGTTTTCTACTTTAAAAAATGTTGAGAAACAGCGAGTATCAAATTTATTGGGAATATATCAAAAAGGTCAGATAAATCCTTAATGTCTAGTTGATATTATTAGTAACAATATAGTACACTTTACATATTAAAATGCCTTGCATTTAAATAGGTCACATAACATATTTGTGAAAACTGCTCTATTATAAATTAAGATCTGCTTTCTTGTTCTGTATGATATAAATTTCCAAAAATTATTTTTAGGATAAATCAGGATGAAATCATATAGTTGGGAATTTAGACTTTTATGTCTGTGGATAAAAAATGTTTAGACTTGCAGCACAGAATACTCTGAGGTTAAAAGGTATTTGGAAAATACTTTGTCATGTTTCCTCTCACGCACAACGATGCTTTAAATATATATAAGTCAAGCAAAATCAATATTTAGGACCGGTAGAAATAGAAGTCTTTCTACAGCTACACTGCTTCACTACGATAAACTATTTTAAAGCCACCAGAGTGGCAGTTTTCTAAACAGCATAAATTTCTTTGCCTTTTGAATTAAATCAGACACATATTTCTAAGAATCATCTTCCTCAGACTCTTTCTCCCTCTCATTTTTAATTGAGTCTAAAAAAAAAAGACAGCCCCCATTTAGCTTTAACCAGGAACCCAGTGGTTGGTGTGGGTTCTGAACCCCGGTTTTCAGGTAGCAACGTGTGCGCGCACCTTGCAGCTTTCACAGGTGAGGAGCCCGTAGTGGTACCCAGACACTTTATCTCCACACACCGGACACAGCTCTTCAAGGTCTTCATCGTAGGAGTAATTCACCATTTTAAACTGAGACGCTGGAAGAAGAGAAATGCACACACGCATGCGATTAGCTTCCGAGGCAGGTTACACCCTGCAGTGAAAAGCCTCTGGGTGGTGGGTGGGCAAATGCACCAGGGAAAACAGAGTGGTGTGCTGAAGGGAGCTACTGTTCTGCAGTGGAAGGAGAGCATCTTTGGGGTCAGTGAGCATGCGGTTCGTATATATTTTTTTAAGTTAAATAATCCCAAGTTCTGTGAAACATTCATCCACTGACCACTGTTGAACGCAAGTCTGCAAAGCGACCCATCAGACTAGACACAGGAATTGCCTAAAGTCACAACCCTGGGTTTCTTTGAACCCTTCCTTTGCCCGAGGGGGGAAATCAAGCGCCCACTATGCCCGGCTCCTGCAGTCAGTTTGCAGCGGGCACCGCGCTGATCGACAAGCGCGGCGACATCCCCTTGCAAACACTTGGCCGAGAAACGCCAGCCCCAGAAACCGGGTTCCCGGCAGCCCCACGTTCCCGGCGGGCAGCCCGCGGCCCCTACGCTCAGATCTGTCGCATTAATGGAAACTTTCAGTTCCTACTGCCAGGGCCCCGATCTGGAGACTTCCATCTCCACACATTTGGAAATCTCCTGTAAAACTGAAAAGGAAACAGGAGGAAAAAGAGGAAAAGAGGCGCAGGAGGGTTTGGTCTCGTCGCGAAGCCCCGAAGTCCCGTAATGAACTTCACATGTTTCCGACCTTCCCTGCAAAATCTAAACGCCCCAGATCGCCCTGCGAAAGTTAAACAGAAATCAGGCCGCGGGGATCGGGTGACCCGCGGAGGCGTCCTCGCCGCGAGCTGCGCGGTCTGGGCGCGGGGCCGTGGCCCGAGACCCCGGGTAATACCTGGTCCAGTCCCTCCCCGAGACTCCGCGTCCACGCGGCGGGGACGGAGGGCGAGGGGCAGCTCGCGCAGCCGGGCGCCGTCCTGTGAACCCCTGGGGCGCACTCGCCTCGCGCCCCTTGCTCACCCTCTGCGAACACAGGCGCGCAAACACCGAGTCCAGTTTGTTTTAAGTTAATCAGTGGCGTTTGCAGGGGGCGGGGTGGAGGGGGGGGCGATGACACGGCAGAAGTTTCCTGATTTGTTTACCGAAAAGGAAAGAGAGAAGTAGCACCCACCCACCCCCAGGGTACCTGGCACTCTGTCACCGCAGAGGCCTTCTGGCCCAAGACTGGCTCTCTCTCCCCGTCGTTTAAGTTCTTGTTTTCTCTACGGATTCTGCGGGGCCCCGGGAAGGGCCGTAGGGAGGGGGTGTCACTGAGCGCCCAGCGTCCACCCGCTGAGCGGAGGCGTCTTTAGCCGACGCAGAGCCTGGGCTGGGGCTTAACCCGTAGACAGGCTGAATTGGGGGGGGGGGTTCAGGGAAAAGGTGTTCCAGCAAAGTCGGGCGCTGGGCCCCAAACACAGAAAGAAGGCAGCTCCGAGCGCGGTCCTCCAGCGGCGTCAGCCTGGGTCCCAGCCCTCAGGGGGCTGCGCTCCGGTTTGGGGACCCTGGGGGTTTGGGGGAGGCAGACGGTTCGAGAAGTTCGTAGCCCCACGTCTCCAAAAACTTATGACTATTGTTGGAGGCACGTTTTAGGGACGGAAGAAAATGTACTTTACCGTGTGTTTTCTACTTCCCTGCCCCCCAACAGAGTAAACTTTGACTTCGCACCTAAGGGGCAGCGAGGCCACCGTTGACAGGGGGACTCGGTGCTCACAGCGGGAATCCAGCACCGAAAAGACCGGGGCTGGATGGGGACCGTCTTGGAAAATTCAAATACAGAGGCCGTGCGAGGAGGCGCACGCCGCTGCGCCACACCGGGCGTCTGTCAGAGTTTTCTAAGTGCTGTAACCCGGGCAGGCGTTTGGAGAACCGAATCCGTCGGGGCAAAGAAGTCCCGGTCTTGAGAAAGTGGAGGGGATTGTGGGGCCTCGGGCAGCTGGGGCCGCAGGCGCTGCTGCGGAACCTCCCCAACCGGCCCGACTATGGTGCGTCCCCGGCTCAGACCTGAGCAAACATGGGAATGGGGGCTCGGTCCCCAGGGGCTCCTCTCGGGCCGCGGAGACTAGAGGAAGCGGCGCCCCGGCGCCTCCCACGCTGCTTTCGAGCCCAGGGCTGAGCGCGCGGCTGGCGACTCTTCTGCAGCCCTGGGCTCAGGAAAAGCCACTAGGTCGTGTCAAGAACGCCCCTCTCCAACTTTCCAAAGAAAATATTGCAATGGCATTTCCCTCCCATCTTCCCCCCAAACCCTCCCTCCGGCCTCCCCAGCTGCTGGCTCCAGCGTCTCCCCGCGTCCCTCAGTAACGCGCGCGCTGGGACGAGCAGCACAAACTTCCGTCTGGAACCCAAGAATCCCGCCCGCCTCACGGGCGCCCAACGAATCGTCCCTCTCGGCAGCTGGCGGCGACCGAGGACCCGGCTTCCCGGCGTCGCGCCCTCCACGGCCCCACTTCTCGGGGATCCCAGGGACCAGCAGCAAGGCCCCTTTGGGCCACCCGGGTCCACCTCCCCTCCCCCCGCCAGCCTGCAAGTTAGTCTCAGGGTCCTCAGCCTCAGGGTCTTACACAGCCCGTCCTGGAGGATTGGCGAGACCCCAAGATCACCCAGGGGTAACCGCCCCCAGGCCAGCCGCACGCCTCCCGGCTACCCGCTTTCCGCAGCGCAGCGGGTCGACACCAGGCCCCGGGACCGGCGCGGCGCGCACCGGCCCAGAACTCGGCTCCCGACACCTCCCCGGCCCTTTCAAGTTCTCCCACGGGGATGGCAGGAAATGTTCCGGGATCACAGGCCCGCCGGCCCGCACGTCCTGCGCGCGGGAAGGGGCGACGATGGAGGAGCACCGGTGACTCTTCCTAGCATTGTTCCCTCCCCGGCCCAGAGCCACTGCGACCAACTTCTGAAGGGCTCGCTACAGCCGGAGCTGGGATCGCTGTCTGGGAATGCGGTGAAAACACGGCCAGCGAGGCTCTGTTTCTGTTAGCGATCAGGCGCAATGAGGACACTCGGGACCCCCACACGCCCGGCTCTCGGGCTGCAGCCGAGGCGTGAGGCTGCTGCGACCGCCCCACTCCCGCGGCAGGACCCGCGCTGAGCTTGAGTCGGGGCCAACTTGGGTCCCTCAGTTCTGCCCACACGTCTGAAGTTGTAGCCCGGGGTACGCCTGGGCTTTGGGGGTGCCCACCTCTTTCTAACACCTAAGACCAGCTTCGCCGGGGTCACCCTCTCTTTCTGCAAGTGACTTTCCTAGGCAGAGCGTTCCTGCTTTACGCAAGAGCACTGGTTACCTTCCCACCGATTCCCGCGACTGAGATCCTGCCCGGGTTTCCAGTGCGACACCCCACGTCTTAGAACGGCAGTCCTTCAGCCTAAAGCCGCCCGCTCGCGCTGCCAGAGAGCTGGAAGCCTCCCTTTTCTTAATTAGAAGCGGCCAGTGAGGCATTGCTTGGGAACCCCCCACCCCGCACGGTTCCAGAGCCGTAAACTTTTATGCCAGCCCCGGAGAGGGGGCCTGACGCCCGCACGCGGCCCGGCTCGGCCACTCCAGGCGCGGGGAGCCCGAGCGCCGCGCCCGCTTACCTTGCATGTTTCCCGGCATCTGCCCCTGGTCCCCATGCGATCGAGCCAGTCCCAGGGCTTCCGTCTCCACTTTGGGCAGCATGACAAGGCGGCCGCGGGCGGGGAGAGGGGCTCGGTGCGGCCCGGAAGCCCCGCACCTGGACGCCGCCGCAGATTCAACTCCGGCGGGAAGGAGGAGGTGGCGCCGGGGGAGGGCTGCTCGCCGGTCCGCCCGCTCGCGGGAGTGCGCCTCCGGCTCTCCGGGCTGCGCGTCCGGACCCCTGCGCCCCGTCCAGCCCCGCAGCTCCGGAGTCGCCCGCGAGCTGCGAGGAGGAGACGGGGGGCTGGAGACCCGGCGGAGACGGCGCCCGGGCGCGCAGGCTCGGCGAGGGCGGAGCTGGCCGGGGCGCGGATCCCGGCGCGCAGCGCGGGCGGCGGGGGAGAGGTGCCGCCGCGGGGCCGCTGTCGCCG